CTAGCCTGAAGCGAATCCGAATTATTTCATAACTTCGACATTGGTTTCTGGACTTTCATTGCGATGAATTTGTTGGAATATTGTTATATATTTAGAAACAATTAGATCTAATTAAATTTAAACATTGTGAATAAAATCACGGGTTCGATATACTGAAGCATTCATTTTTTTCATTGATCATACATATGTATTTTATATGGTAATTGAGTACCTCCAACTCAAAATCAACCATACCAAATTGATATTTTATACAATTTAAACCATTAAAATGTATATTACTAACTTAAAGTATGAATCAGACTCTATATTTTGAAACCCAATAGTGTCTCCTATTTGAAGATGGAAGGATACTCAATTTTCTATATCTCATATCTTTTAACTGTTAAAGCTTTTAATTGTAGCAAAACTAAAGAAAGTGCTCTCCATCCAACGGGCGAAATTCGACCATATTCATATTTTTTATTATTCACACTACATTCGCTATTAAATACTAAACAAAAAAACAAATCAGCTGATAGACAGAGGAGAAAAAGGTACTGAACTGTTTTGTCTTTGCCTATTTACACATATATAGATATTCCATATCTGAAAGATATATTACAAGAAAACTAACATCAGTAATATTTACAATATTTTCAACACAACAGAATACCAATGATATGAAAATATCAAAACAATAAATAGAATCTACGAATACTTTAACCACACAATAAACTTTGTTTCGAACGCAAGAATATGTAAGTTGCAAAGATTTAAGTTTTTAACAAGTTAAATTGTTTGGTCCCGGAGAGTTGGGGGCAAAACGAATCATCCACGGTACAGGTGTCAACAAGTTGTGCTAAGTTTAACAGTGTTTGTGTTTTAACAATATACGAGATTTGCGAACTTTGTGTATTCATTATGTGTGCTTTTGACAATTTCGCCTTAACTAATAATGGATTTATGGAAAGTTTGCTCGTTGCCTAATAATTTAAGGTTAATGTAGATAAGGGCATGTGCATACCTTTTTCTATATTTTTTTTACATTATTATTATTGTGATAAAATTTTTATACTGATCCAAGTGATTTATTACAATAGAATTCTGTGCTATTTTTGCATTTATTAAATCACTGTATAATTTTGTGGATAGATACTGTCTCTAACAACTATATAATGGACCTTTGAAGCTTAGTCTCTCCTGTGACCATGTTTGCTATAAAGTCTTCGAAACGTCAAGTCCAGAAACAAATGTCTAATAAATTCACAAAAAAATCCAAAAAGATATTTTTTTTAAATAATGAAACACATCCAATGGGAAAATATCTAAGTTATTAGAATTCAAAGTATAGATATAATATTCCTAAGGACTTTTAGTTAAAATTAAGTGTAACTTTAATTTTTCAATATGTAACAATCACACAAGTTTGGAATATTCAAAAATATCCTATTTATCAATACATTGTTACCAATTAGACTGTGCTATTAGTTACTTGCTAATTTGTGCTACTATTGACCTAAAATTCTTTCTATTTTACGTCATGGAAACTCTTGCCCAATATACAACGCAGCTTAATACTCGTATGTTCTCTCACCCGAATTCTCTATTCGCCAGTCTGTCTGGCATCATTTTTAACCGGTATATATTTTAGTATTTGGTTTATTCCATATAGTTAAATGTAACAATTAAACTAATAGAATAACACTGCAAATACTACAACTAGAATACGGTAATTTTTAGAAAAATATATCATGAAAGATATAGTTATCTTAGTAGACAGTTTTTCTGAGAAAAGCGTATGATTTAACTGTTGCTCTAAAAAAAACTTGTGTACAATACTAGAATACAGTGATTTTGTTCCTATAATATACACAGCAATCATTATAATTTTATTTATATATAGAATATAGATTTGTTGTTCAAACGATACTCAGTGCAATATTGTCAGTACAGTTAACTATATCATTAAATGCAGGATCAAGTTTTAATTAGTTTCACGTTACAAAGTTGGACGTAATGATTGTATTTTGTAGTTCGTATCTTGCTTGATTGCTTTATTAATTAATATACTCTATCCACTCTCTTCTCAGAAGCAAATCGATATCGATGTTCTTAGTAACAGTAGTTTATCTATAACATTTACTCATATCATAAGTTACTAGCGGCTCACCCTCGCTTCACGCGGGTTCTCCTCTAGAAAAACATAAAAAAATCTATCCCACAGGAGCCATACTTTGCTATGATTTGCCTTTTACCGGATCATTTAAAACCTATATTTGGTGTAATAGTCTAAAAATAGCTCAAAAACTAGTATTCATTTTATGATTATAATATGGACAAAAAAGCACGTTTAACTTTTTATCTAATACTCATATTCGAATCCAAAACCTAATGTATAAAACCCAAATTCCATGGGTTTATTTGAACCTGTTGAAGAATTATATGAACCTCCTAGCGCCATCATCAGCTTGATGGTATACATTTTTATTTGACATGTTACATTACCATCAGAATGAAATTAATACGTCCTAGATTTGGCTAAATACTTTGTTAGTTTGCATATAAGTGAAGCGTGTTTAATTAAATATAGATATAATGTTGACAATAACAACGTATTGACATTACCATATTGCTAAGCACAAATTGTACTCTGACAATCATCACGATTGATTGCCGAGCCGTGATACGTTCACGCTCGGACGAATCTTCGCACTGTGTGCATTCGGATCGAGTTTGTCAGTCGTATGTACACTCGTTTACAATCAGATAACTGAAAAGCAACCCATCGCGTGATTTAACAGGGTCGTGTGTATGCTACATAACTTTACAAATATTATAAATGCGAAAATATTGGCCCTCTTTAATACATTTTATGGCCAAACTTCTGTTATTTTTTACTCTTGGACATAAAAGAGATAAATGAGACGTTATAAATATAAGACATGTGAACATTAGTTTTCTTCGTAATTTATAGTTACTTATCAACAACTATATTAAAGTTAGAATACTAGCACTCATATTAACTAGCTACAAAATAACTCTTGATATAAATAAATTCACTCATACTAAATTTGAATGAAAATAATTCAAAATTGTTCATGCGATTTTGCGGAAAGGCCTCAAGTTCAAACCTAAAAAACCATGGCATTTAATTGGTATGTCGACGTAGCAGACGTTTTTACGCTCCAAATGATGTTATCCGAGTAATGAAAATGTTTTCGACTACTGAACAGACCCTAATTTATTCTAATCAATCTCTTTGATCTGTACTGTAAATAAATATCTGATAAAATGGAATAAAAAATATTTCCATAAAATGGATGGCAACTGCCTATTTTCGCATTCAGTCTTCTATTTATAGCTACAGGTAGGTACCACCCATAGTGTTAACAAGACCCGGGGAATCAAACGCTCGACACCCACCACGCTAGTAATATTTGTATATAATATGGAAACATGAATTTGAATCCACGATCCTTTTTTTTTAACGTTGGGAAATGCATTTACGCACGAGGTGTGGGACTCACCGGCGAAGCCAGTACTACCCACTAAAATCCAACAAAACCTTCCCCCGTCTTAATGGGGCGTCGCAGGATCGCTTACGCATTCAACTACGACGCCCCGACGGCAGGTCTGCCGAAGCAGACCACCACAACCATAGGGTTGCTCCAAGGTCCACTCTGCTATCAGAGAAGTACCAGGAGCAACCCACATGGTACACCGCCCTCCGAAGAGGGCCACCTCCCACCGCCCACCGAAGTGGGCCACCTCCCTGTGCGTTTCTTGGCATCGCGCCCGGTTGGGTTGCCGGGCACTACTGAGCCCCCCCACCACGACAAGGTGTACGCACGTTGGGGGGGTGAATCCACGATCCTAGACTAAGAACCATGATTAATTTCACTAACCCTTTTATAATAAGAGTAAATCTAAAGTAGATGAATTCAGCCCTTTTTTACGTCCCACTGCTGGACTCATACCTCCCTTCAATCAGGATCAGGGGAGGGGGGGATCAGGCCATAGTCCACCATGCTAGCCAAGTGCGGGTTGGTAGACTTCACATGTGTTTTGAAAACTTGCTAGGTTCTCTCAGACATGCAGGTTTCCTTACGATGTTTTCCTTCACCGTAAGACAAGTGGTAATCATGTTGGAAATGATTCGCACATAATAATATCAGAGGTGCGAGACCTGGGATTTAAACCCGCCTCACTTGATTTCCCAAGCGAGCGCGTTACCACTAGGCAACCACTGCCTCAAATCTGATGTATACATGTGAAATCTTTATATTACTAGCAACATATTTGTATTAGAATTGCTAACAGAAACATGACCTTTTTATCAATATCTCAGAAATCTAAGCGCTCCCACCCAACAAAGTTTTGTAAGCCAACATGGACTTCCTATAAAAGTTATTTTATAATATGGATGGTATAGAAAACTTCCCTAGAAATTCATCCTTCAACAACTTCCAGAGTTGAGTTTTTGACGTCTTACATTTGATTTTACGGCATTTAACCACTCAAAATTCAGGTTGAAAGTCATTCTGATCTGAACTTTTGGCTTTGATGTCAGTCAGAATTGTTAATTCCTTTTTGCATTCAAAAACTCGAATAACTAAGTTTGATTCAAATGGAGCTTACAAAATTGTGGTTCGTGTATAAAGAATTTTGAAGTAGCATGTATTGCTTAATTGGCTCCGTGGAGTCTATTTCAATCGATTCATCATATATTTTCCAATTTTATCATGCATTTATTGACTAACAATAACTCTATTAGCCATTTTGAAAAGAAACCAATGTACGAGTAGATAAAATATCCACAAAAGCTAGCGAATTATACTCGATGGAAACCGACGACCTATTTTTTGCTATTCTTATTGTAAGGCTATAGAAAGCTTACATTGTAGCTGAATATAATAAGCACACAGCCTATGCAGCGTTTGGAAGTGGCACGATAATAGAATATTAAAAAATATATTTCTAAAAAAACAATATAATAATAGTTTACTTGAACCTTATTTCAGACATGTTCAAATCTGAACAAGTGCGTGTGCAACCGTGGCTGGACAGGACCAGACTGCTCTCAACCAGACGCTTTGCCACCGTCACCCACGCCCTGGGTACCGGAAAATGCCACAAAAGCTGCCTACAACATGACTAAGAAGGAAACACCGTATGGTGAGTCGAATCCAGTATCAGATGTGTATATATGTGTCGTGTACTTGTTCTGTATAATAGATTTAAGACTTTAGCCAGAGATTATTCTATATGAAATTAAGATAAATACATACCTATGTACATAACTTATCAAGATTATTACAAATATATCAAATCAAACTCCTACGTACTCACATATACATAGATTATATTACTTTTGATGGCTGTAATGGATCTATCTTTCCACACATTCTTATACGATAAATGAAGGTTTACTAAACATTTTTAAAGCATATATTTCAAAGCGACCAATTCAAAATGTAATCTTGGCTGAAGCTCTTAAAAAACTAAAAGTAAGAAAGAGTTGTCAGATATTTGATTGAAGTTTCAGAAAAAGCTTAATGTGCCCCAACACACTTTTGATCCGCACAGAAAAATAAACTATTCTTTACAACTTGCAAGATAGGGAAAAACCCGACAAAAAATACAAAATAATCTTGGATTTATTGTCCATCCACTAACTTTATCTCCGTAGAATATTGTACACGGCTTGCGAGGATGAATACCCCGTTTTATTCAAAGATATTTGTCCTTTTACTGCACGGACTATTGTCGATTATCATAATGTATCTTTAGATATTTTATTACTTAATAAGTAATTGTGATATTATAATTGATTCGTTACACAACAATACATTTTTTTATGTACGTTTATAAGAAAGGTTTTAGTAGGTTTATATTCTATTTATCTATACCTATAATAAAATTCTGAGTTGAATCTATATGTACATTAAATATTTTTTTGGAAAATCTTATTGATAGTCATTACTATCGATACAGAGGCCAAATCTATTGTTTTTAGAATTTTCGTCTGTCTGTCTGTAACCGCATCACGAGAAAACCAATGGACAGATTTTGATGAAATTTGGTATGATGATAGCTTGTTATTCGGGTAGAATACTTTTTACTGCGGGAAAATATATCATTTCTGAGAAATCTATACTAAACATTAAAACGTAACTCTGTAATAAATCATTATTTATATTAAAAAATCTAATCATATTATCCAATCCGATCTGATCGAATAAGTATCTGACAACTCCACTGTACTATTTTGCAGATGTTTTATAATTATTATTTATCATTATTTCTTCTATTTATTCTATCTACTTGACTTTTTAATACATTGCTAATGGTCAAATTCTTTTTTAAAACCAGAAAGTGTAATCAAATAGTTTGATTTAATATTTTAAAAGAACAATATTGTTAAAATATATCTTTAATTTGGAGAAAATATTTTAAATGCATTTAATACTACAGTAACTCTTCAGCTTCAATTAAAAATACTAAATATAAATTTATTTGTATCTCCTATTAAAATTACTTATTTTATTTGGAATATATTTTGATTCATGTAAAGTAAAAGCATGTTGGTATTCACAAAGTCTTAAACTTCAATTTTGAAACTTCAATAGTCTTTTAAAAATTTGTATCTAATTTTGTCGGACCTTTGAAACATCCCCGACTCTTAAACATTGTGAAGAAGACGGGTTACTATAGAATACATAACAATATGTACATATCGATATTAATGGATGTTTTTCTTTTCATGTGTGTGTTGTGATTTATTTAAATGTTGTAAAAGTGTGTTATGTTTTTTAATTTACAGTTCTCGCTTTATTCTTACAGTTCCTTTATCTGGTGTCTACTACGTACACTATTATGAATACATATTAATGTATCGCTGATTTATGATTTCAGGTGCCTTTCTACCTCTTAATGTTCCCCATATTTTCCGTTGCTATTGATGTATAAACTGTATAATTGGCCAAAATCAACCGAGCACTGCTCTTCGTAATCGCGATTGTACAATCTGGCTTAAATATAGACAATGTATACTTTAAGAACTCAGATACTTTGGCAAAAAAAATAACCGTTACGTATTATCGATGGGTGGTAAACGTCCGGGGAGCAATGCTCGGAGCGTGGTGACAGCGCGGGCGGCGCCGGCGCACTAACGCGCGGGACCCCTCTCTTGCAGATCTCACCGAGGGCAATAAGATGAGCACCGTGAACATGGTGTTATTATTACTCGCGGTCGTGCTGTCCGTGTTCGTGGGTTTCGCCTGGATGGCGTACTGCTTCAGGTAACCGCCGGTAACTCGGTGTTGTCGCACTGTCCGTCGCTCGTGCCTGCAATGTCGTGTGTGTGCCGAACGGGTCCCGCCGGCGCCGCTCGCGCGCCCTCGCCGTCCCGCCGCCTCGCGTCACGCCACGTCACGTCACGTCACGCGACGTCACGTCACGTCACGCGACGCGCCGGGACCGTGAGCGCGTGCCGGCCCGCGCGTGACTTACTCTTCTCTTTGGGCGCAGAGAACTACCACGGCTCGAACACGGTATTCCTCGTGGCGGTGCTCATGTCTGTGGTAGGGGGGGTATTCATAGTATTTGCCCTGAGCGCTCTCTGCTACAGGTCAGTCGTAGTACACAAAAACTTCTCCCTGTGCCTAAGGTTAGTGAGCAGAAAACAGACCAAAGGTAGTCTTTAAGGAGAAATTTAAATCGTCACCTTCGTATACTTGTATGTTTATTTAGACGTTAGCGTTGGTGTTTCCGTTTTTAAAGTCGACGATTGGTTTTTCGTTCTTTTGATTGTTTGAAGATTTTTTGTGTCGTTTACGTTGTCGTCGTAGAGCTAGCTGGCCCAACTGCATTTGATCTGTGGTTCTGTGGCTGTGGTCGCGCGGCGGCGGGCCCGCGGCGAGCCGCAGCCGTCGCGCGCCCGCCTCCGCGCTGCATGCCGACGAGGCTTTCCACGTTGTACTCGAGCGACACCTCGATTCAAACCCTTAAGATTCTGGGCTCTTGGATGTATGCATTGGCTTATGTGAAATGTGACTCGTTTTCGTTTCCTTTCTTGGTCGGACCGTGTCGCCGGGCGCCGCAGACTGCTGCCCGACGGTGCGATCGCGTCTATATCTTCCTACATTCACTATCGATAGAGATCATCGTAGCCGTTTTTAAGTATCTCATCAAATATTTAAGTAGATTTTTTTATTATCGCGCTAGAATCGCCATATGACCGATTATTATAAATTATGAACTCATGCGAAGATATAGCACGCTCGACTCTCACCAATCATACCACTATCACTAAATTATATCTAAACTTTTGCACGAAAGCGAATGTGCGATGCACGGATTCTTCTTTCAAGCAGCTGTCTATCTAGTTAGAAACGCCTATGTTATATTTAAGTAAATTACATCTTTCCAATAAAAATATTTGCTACTTTCAAATCATATTTGCGTAACAAATTTATATAGACTGCTTCTTATTCATTCGACTCGTTTCAATGTGATATAAGAGAATATTTCTTTTCGTAAGACATTTTTAGTGGAAAGATCATCACTTAAGCTAAGGTCAATATTTTGATTATGTTCCCATAAACATTAATTCCCATGAGGAATGAAACGAAAAATTGAAGTTTTTTGATAAAGTAAATATAAATTTCTGAATTAAATTTTATTATTGTAATATCCAAAAGCACCAGTCTTTAAAATAATAATTGGATCAATTGAAGTCGAACTAGTTTTGGGATTTGAAAATCCATAATTTTTGAAATAACTGTTATCATTCCCAATTTGCCGCTTTGACATTGATAATAGATTCATAGACGTGACAAGTAGAAGCTGATAGGAAACTGTTATTTGACAAAGGAAACAAATTTTAGGCCTATGTTATAATTTTATTACCTAAACTTCAAAAAAATATTACGTGAGCAGTCTCTTGTCAGCCTCTATCACGATCAAAATTTTGTCCGGAAACGAAAACACGATTACAAAATTGACCCCTGAGGTGTTCTCGATTCCGTTTCGATACCGAATGACTCGATTTTTTAAACTTAATCGATTGATCTGAGTGTGCGTTTCCACGCCACGCCTGCATCAGGAAAAAGAGTACGCTACCGAAGTACGACCCTCCCTACGTGAAGAAACCAATAGCCAAAAGCTTCGCAGCCGGATCCACTACATCGAACAATTCGCAAGAAGACATCTCTATGGATGGAGGAAAGATGCACGCTTTTAATAACACATTTAGGTAAGTATCAGGTAACTTGGGTAACAACTTTCCGCACTCTCCACTCACTCTGTTCTCTCCTTTAAGATGACCCTACACTACAAATCAGTTTCTACGACTTTACTGATGACTATGATATACATGTATTTTAAAATTTATTTTTAACTACCCCCTTTCTGACACATTATTTTCACATCTTAAACTTTATTCCTAATGTTTGTGTGCTATATTTATATTTTATACGTTAAATATAATTTAGGTCCCATTAAGTTATTAAAAATTGTATAATTTAAACGTGCTCTAGATGTAATAATTTGCTCGCAAAATGTGTACAAAAAGCTACATTAGGTTATAATTACTTCTTAATTGAGGAGAAAAAGGGTATTTATATCATCATGTAGGTGCTGAAAAACTGAGCATTATGTTGTAAAAATTATACTTAGGTATTTTTTATAAATTTGCCGAAAAAAATAGCTACAAAGCAGAAATTATTATATTCAATCACTAAAACGAAGCAGATTCTTCCTTTTTCTAATATGACACATTTAATCTTTAATCATATAAAGAGTATACAATTTCCAGCAATATATGACTCAAAGAAAATACGAAAATTAAGTAAAAAATCATTCAGGAACTCATAACACAATTTTGTTTGGTTCTTTTTTTTATAATATTAAATAATATAAGCAAATATGATAACAAAATGGAATCAACGAAGAAGTCTAGAGCACGTTGCGAATACCCTTGATTATTTCAAAATTAAACTTTTTTTTCCTCTTCCTATCGGAACTGGTGTAACAGAAACCTTCTCAGGTACGTCTAAGTTTCAAGTCTCACCGCTCTTACAGTTTTCACACGATTTACGCTTTTTACATACGGCTTAAGGTTTTGCTTCGGAACAATCCCAACCGTTTGGCGTGTTCTAGTGTGACCAAGCACAATCACACACATGCGTTAAAATACACGCTTTTTTAATAATTTCTTTCTAGTATATAATGATTTATGTGAGGTGGTAAAAATGCACATAGATTATATAGCACTGAATAGAATATAATATATAGAAGTAAAGTAGATCTTAGTAAAGCAAAGTGATTTTTAATTAGAATTTAAAATTTGAAAAGCCAGTTAGACGAATCGATACGACACAAGGTAGGAAAGTCCAAGCATTCCTTCAGACGATTATTGCAGCTTATAACGGTCTGGTTCGAAAATTCGAAAAAGGAACAAAATTTAAACGATTCCAAATTCCTCAGCCGCGGGGACTCCCAGCGCGTGATCTTCAGACACGGGAATCACATGTCGGGAGCTGGCAACACTAGCAGATATCCGTGAGTTGCCAATCACAGAAAGACAAATTTGTAACTTCATGGGGTCTATCTTCTTAGGCTATTATTATTATACTTATTTTTATATACTTATTTTTATATACTTATTATAAAAGTATGTTCTGTAGATCCCTTTACCCCTTAGGTTTTAGTTTAGTTGCTTATGTCTTAGATAGCTATTTGTAATTTTAGTTGTTATTTTTTGAACTGAAGTGAGTTAATTTGACGTCCTTCGTTTTTTTGTAATATTCTTTAAACTTACGTTACTCTTTTTGCGTAAAACATAGTTCCCAAAATCGGAAACTATTGTACGACAAAATTTCATTAAAATCACGTTTTTACCATCGGCATGCGCAGATCATTTTTGCTTTGTCTCGTCTCGTAAATGAATCAAGATAATTAAATTTCAACTTTTTTGCAGAGATCACAAACAAATGAAACGTGTACATTCCGGCAGTGAGGACGAACCAACACATTCTGGTACGTAAAACTTGTTTATTACAGTGATTATAGTAAAAACTAGTATATCATTCAACTTTTCACAAGTTAAGTAATTTATTGACAATAACTTTAACTTAAAAGTTAGAGCGAAATCGAAATCAAATTAAATGTTATAATTAGACCCTTATAGAGAGAGATCCGGTTTGAGTCCTCGTTTAAAATCAGTAATTTTTTATGCCAAAACAAATCTCTATCAGAAAATAAAAAATATAAAATTGAATTCCAGGAGAAGAAGATATAGCCTTCATAGACGTCGCACCCAACTCCATGGCGAAGTTACCCGAGAAGGGTATTCTGAAGAAACACGGCTATGGCGCAGTCGACGGTAAGGACAAGTGGGCTGAAGACTCGCAATCCGAGCAATTGGAAGCTGGTTCCCAATCGGATGGGCAGGAACCTTCAGGAGCTGTTGCCGACATGGAATATAAATTTAAGGTATTTTAAAATGATATTAACTCATGACCTACTGATATCAACCTAAGATAATAGGTACTTTAGAATCATGTCAATATTAGAGTAATAGTAGATAATTAGTAAATATGATTAACTTAACGGAATATTACTAAGATTATATGTATTCGTATAAGTTTATAATAAAAATATATATAAATAAAAAGAAAATATCAATTTTGTGTGATAACATTTCCACGTATAGATGTGAGTTGCCTGGAAAAAATCTCTTCTAGACAGATAAGATAGATAAGCCCATCTTTGCCTACGTTATTTATACCCAATCAAATAATTAAATAATATATAATCTGACATTTTTTCTTACCTCTTTCCAGGACCTAAACGGCTACCACGAAAACATAATCGTAGCACTTAAAACTGCCGCCGCACAGAGAGCGAGCGCCGGGGCCGCTGTCGGCTCTGGGGACCTTAGAGCTTTGCAAGAATATGAATACAAGCGAGAACGAGCGCCAAGCGCTGAAAAGATTCACGAGGCAGAGCTTAGGAGGCAGAGGGGTGATGAGGAAGAGGATGAGGCTCCCCCATGTGGTCCCATCAGGATCAGGAACTTAGAGGATCTGATCCGGCAGCTAGAGCACCATTCCAGCCGGCACATGAGTCCCTCTGGCTCTGAAGATATCAGGATGTCAGAGACAGAGGCGGATAGACACTATAGAATTGATGGGGAAGTACCACCGTGAGTATATTACTAGTTCAAACTCGAATTGAATATCTTATTTAAATTAACTATTAGAGAGCATTTTTAAATTATCACATTTTATATTTATTCTTATAAACAGACTTATATAATTATAAATTAGTATTTTATTGATTTAATTCATTAGGATAACTATATAGCAAAAATTTAATTAAAAAACTACATTTTTCTTTTATTATTATTCCTGATGGAGTCACTTAGAGAGGATCCTACATGTTCAATCTCAGGTTGAATGGCACATAAACCTGTGGAACAGGTAGATCAAACACCACTCCATCTTCTGGGAGAGCGTGGACCTCTCATGGACAAGCGCAATATTCATCTTGGGCAACAATTTCTAGGCCCAGGTGAAATTATGGATTGTACCCCTAAGGAAATCCTGCAGTTTTTTACAGTACTAGTTCAAAATGCAGCGATCATAATAGACCAGATATGGTCGAAGTGATACTCTCTCTATAGCCACAACTAAGAAATAAAACAAATAGGGTAGATCCTTAAGTTATAGATAGGTTATTATTATAAGCTAGTTAGTATCAACTTTCTATCTAGTGAGAAATAGCACAGAAATCTTTCTGTTTTTGATTATATAGTTCGGCTGTTAGACAACATTCCCATGGCTTGCAACATTAACCCCACATTTTCTCATCAGTCGTTGCCGCGGTCGCATAGGCCCCGGTGAAGAAGAGTCCCGCTTCGGCTACCCACGCTTCCGAGGCAGCGCGCGCCACCACCCTGGCATGTTTGCCCCGAGCACGTCCCCGGCATTGTTGGCCCATGGTGCTCTCCCGGGGCATGCCCTGGCGGTCGGGGCTCATGGAGCTCATGTGGCACATGGTGCCCATGGAGCCCATCGCGCACCCCCTGATGATGATGCGCTTTATGAGACCGCGGATGCGGAGAGACTGCGTGACGCTCCCGACAGCGAGAGGTGAGACGCTTCATGGTTCAGTTTGGGTTATTTATATTCGTTTTTTAATTTAATTATTATTATTTCTACACATTTTATAAATTTTCTAAGGAAGAGGTCGTAGTTTTACTCAATGAAAATCATTGCACAAATTAGATGTTTAGAGAGAAACTCTTGAGCCAGAATTACGTAATATTCACACAAAAACAGGAACAGATACAGTGTTTGATATGATTTTGTATTTTGTTTTAACATTTATTTTACAGCATCACACAAAACAACACTCGTCATAACTCACTGGCGGGCTCCATGGGTCTCACTTAGATCCCATAATTAGTTTTATTTTCAAAATTTTCAAAAGTTTATTATATGAGTTCAAAATAACTATTTCATCATGATCTAACATCAAATTTTTTCATAAAATTTTCTGTCTCATATATGATATTGAATTTATTTGCAAGATATTCATATACATTCAAAAACTCTTCTATTGGCGCATTAGTACATAGCTTAGTAGTACAGTAGTGAACTAGCCAGTGAGTCAGACTCGCGAGCCCGCCGCAGCGCCGCAGCGACGCGCCTCGACTCTCCGTTCCTCTTCTCTATCATTTTCTAGTGATGAATTTATTCAAGCTCAACAACAGTTAGCCCGGTGGGCGAGTGAAGAGGCAGTGCCTGCGCGCGACTACTTCCCGTCGCCGACCTCTCCGCGCTCTCCGCGCTCCCCGCACTCTCCGCGCTCGCCGGTCTCCCCGCGCTCTCCGACGGGTAGCTCCGGCAGCGAGCGCCCCGCTGCCTTCCCGGAGTACACCCACTGACGCCCTGGCGCCCCCCGCCGCGCCCCAGGAAGACCCCAGGGCCCCTCGAGCGCACCTCGGGCCTCCCGCGCCCTAAAACATGTAGCATGTGAATACGTAATCGTTAGACATCAAATGTAAATACTGAATGCACAGTGACTTTAACGATATGACTGAAATATTTATAGATTTAGCGTTAAATATAAAAGGCCACGTCGCCGCGCCGCCGCGAGACCGCGTTGTGTTAAATGTTTATATTCGTTTTAAATCGATACGCTTTATATAACTCTTATCTCTGTTCGGCGGCCGCGGCGGGCGGCGGCGCCCCAGCGCTCCGTGCGGCGACGGGCTCAGGCTCCGGCGCTCGCGCTCGGCCTTCGACGCTCGAGTTACTTACGATTTAGATAGGCGTTTAACAAATTATGATAAAGAAATTCGTCGAAGCTTTAATTGAGCAGTCGCTCGGAGACGCGACCGATGTCCGGCGAGACAGACACAGGCGGCAGCGGGACCGACGGCGCATCGCAACCGTCCCCGGAGAGACTCGTCATACAATCACCTCTCCGACTTGCGCCCGACTTCGGAGCGACTCGACTCGCTCGGCCTTGTCGAGTCGAGTCGAGTCGGGTAGATAACGATAACACCAAACCAGAGTGCGCGATTTAGGATCCATTTTTCCGTTGACGTCACGCTCGGAGATCTCGACCCGTACTCGTACTAATGTTTTTGTATCTAGATTCATAAAATAACATATTCTAAAATAGTTACATTAATGTGAATATAAGTTACTTCGGAATTTTATCAGATATGTATGTATATGTATAATTAAAACGAATTTACGCTGGAGTGGAGGACGCTCGCGGCGAGAGAACGCGGTTATTTAGACGACATAGCTTAGATATTAGGTGTCGGTGAGTATCGGTGGTCGTGTCCGATCGTATAGCCCTAGTTAATGCGCCGCCGATACGGCGTCGGGTCGCGCCGCGAGCCGTCCTCGGATGTTACAGTTTTTGTTTATTTTATTACGACAATTTAGAACTTTATCGTTTCGGATTTACGCTAGGATAGGTGGCGACGCCACGATATTACTAATAGAACTTAAAGTTATAATATTATAGAACAAGTAACTTAGACCACGACCGCACTCCGGCCGTGTGGCCGCGTTTATGATAATCAATCTTTAGGTAATGTCGTAGGTAAGGTAAGATAGGTAACTAATTACGCGTACAGGGTAGTCGTTTCTCTTATACTCTGTACTGGGCGGCACTCGCGGTGCGGAGGCGCGTGACTGTGTGCGACTCACTGCGGCTCTTTGCGAACTCGTGCGACTCTGTGCGACTCCGTGGGACTCAGTGCGGCTCCGGCGAGCACTCGGTACTCAGTAGGTATGTGTATCAATTCGTAGCTCTTACGTGGTTATGTATTAGAATAGGCTAGGTTAAGGACGTTTAATGATTTTTCGCACAATAACAGCATTGCTTTATAAGTAGAATGGAATCGATGTAAATAGTGTCTCAATACATCAGCACAAATATTCTAGTTCACATAATAAGCACTTTTATAATATGTGATATGTGTAAAGGAATGTTTTGACTGCCATCTCCTACGTCGATTAATGTGTAACGATCGATCGATAAGTAGTTTTAAGTGTGTTTAATTTGCATTTGCTTTAAAATGCAAGTTGTGTAATCACGATGGAAATACGAACGTGTATGAGCGAGCACAAGTCGAGCCGAGGCCCCCCGGCCCCCGCCCGGGGGCCCCGCGCCCCGCACCGCACCCGCGCCCCCGCCCTCCGCGCCGCCCCCGCGGGGCTGATGTCATGCGTGTCAAGTGTGTCGAGTGTTTGACAGGTGTCAGTGTCAAAGTCAAATGAGTGTGTCAGATTGTTATAGACTTGTTATCGGTAACAATGTTCAATAAATGTCTTTATACAAAGATTGTGTAGTCCATAGTGTGCTGATGAACATTGGTTTTATATGGGCGCGTGAATGCGAGTGTCGAGCCCAGGAGGCGTCGCGTGGCGCGTTACATACAGTATTCGTATTATAACTATACAGATTTGAAGTAGGTACGCAGATCGTTGCGTGGGAGTCAATGTTGCTATTAAAAAAATAATTTACATGCCGAATATCATGTTTTGGCTCGATCGATTCCGATAAGCCTAATTTCAGATCAGTAAATCTATAATACGAATACTACCCTATACACTTGTGCGGTAAACAAGACCTTACTTTATAGTCTAATCACATTTTTATATGTAATTATTATATGTAATCATTACCATTTACTTATTAGTATTGTTGTACACAATTGGTTATGAATATTTTTTATTTACCATTTAAAGCATTCACGTGATGACCCGTAAACACAATTTTTATAATAGTTACTTATTTTAATTTAAATAACTGAGTTAATTATAAGTGACTTAAATTATATAATCAAAAAAAGTAAAATATGTAGACATTGCCTTATAAATTATCTAGATGATAATTTATATTTAATATTCTTTTCTAGAATAATTTATTTACATTAGAAACAAAACAATTTAATATTATTTTACTTAAGTCGTGAATAACTTGACTACTACAACATTAATTTTTTCAACTTAAAAAAATATTATTATTATTATGTTATCGCTGCGAAAATGAATTAAAAACCTAACCCCAAGTAAATGTGTCCAAAAAATAAGATGTCATGTTATTCACGGCTAGCATTTTATATAGAAAAAAGTAATAAACAGGTCTAGTTTACCGCACGGCAGTGTTACGCGCAGGCCTAATTCGTCAATTGACGGCGCCGGTGACGGCCATTGCTCACGGTAGTGCTCTGGTGTTCTGCCGTCTGTCTTTTTTATCTATACTAATATTTGTTTATTATCTATGTGTATAAACTTTTTTTTTAAATAATAAATCTTGCGTTATAAATCAATTTATAAATAAATATATTTGATAGCACTCATAAAATGGGTGTAGGGTAGGATATATATATCTATCAACTATATTTTTTATGTAGGTTATTTATATTTGTTTATTGCATTGTATTGCAATATTAGTGCAAATATATACATATATAAATATGTCAAATTTTAAGTTTTAGATGGCTACGACCATGTATGTTTTAATAGAAAAATTTATTAAGCAAAGTTAGATAAAAAGTGACAACAGCATTCACTATCACTACCGAACTACTATAATGATTATAGTATTGTTAAAGTTAAGTGATATTATGTGAAAATACGAATTTTAACGAAGAAACGTTAAGACGTTGGGTTTTTCAGTTTGATTTTGTCCTTGTAAATATATTTGCTATATTATTTACTAAATGAATGTAACATATTATTAATGAAAGAAAATAGATGACACAAATTTTTTTGGATGTTTTATTGAATTTGCCTTACGATATGTCGATTTTTTGTTCATACGAGCCTATTTAGCATGGGCGCTAGATGCATTCACATCTCCTTGCCATAAAGAAAAATAAATAGAAAAAGTTAAAAAAATAAAATTAATTATTAGTAAAATCCCTATTTAAATTTAAATATCAGCTAAAAAAGATAAAAAATATTCTTTACAAACATTTAGAAAAATATTTCATTTATGAATAAAAATAAAAGCTTAATCATTTAAAGATTAGTTAGTAGTTCAATGTGAAGAAATAAATGCACCTCCTGAAAATAATTCTGCCGCCGCCCATGGCCCTTTAGATTTTTTTTTTGACAGCACTATATAATTTAGTTCTTTTAACGTTCCCTTGCTGGGCTTGAGCCTCTCCTCCATGCAAAGGGATAGAATCAGAATCGAACCTACGATTGACATATTGACTTTTAAATGCAAGCAGTTCTTTGTTAATAAACCTTTAACAACAGATATAAATAACTATCTTTTCATTATTATGAATTAAAAAAAACTTTAGTATACTTACGTAACATTTATTGCGTGTTAATTTCATAGATGCCTTATATGTTATAACTTATACAAAACATAATATAAATTGAAAAACCATAGAAACAAAAAGCAATGTATCATCATGCGTTTCTATAAAAAACCTTAATAGTTCTATGGGAATATTATGGTAATAAAAAAAAGTTAAAATTATTTTGCCATAATTACCTCCTAATTTACGAGTGTGTACTAATTTAATCCTTCTGGAGGTAAAAATGAAAAATTAAATTATATTTTATATTTTTTTATATTTTTATTGTCATCATTTATATTTTTTTTATTTTTATACAGCAGGATCGGTACTCTCGCTCTTACGCCTTATCAGAAACCTGGCGTAGTCATCTTTCTCAGCATTAAAAGAACCAATTTTCTCGCACTGAGCGGTCGTGGCTGCTTGTTGAATCTGTTCTCCGTAAGCTTTTACATCATCTCTCTTTAGCTCCACCATATATTTCCTGGATTCCATTATAACAATGGCGTCATCACGTGCCATGGACCAGAGACTTGGCTTGACCCGCGGCAGTACATTGTGTCCAACAAAGACACCGTGGAACAAGCCTTGGAACTGCGGCTTATGTGGATAGTGTTCTAGAGCAGAGAGGGACAGAAAATGCACTTTTCCATAGTCAACTTCAATGTAAGTATCGCGATCTTCACGTAAAAGTAATGGTACCTCAGGGCCACTTTCAGACATTTTTGCGTCGAATTCACTTAGCACAGCCATGCCTAAATTCTGATGACTATCTATGTTAAAAATATTTACATCAAATGGCTTACGATGCTCAAGCTCATATAGCATCCGCATAACATTTCTTTCGGATACATCTGTTGCGCGCTTGTAATTCACTCCATGAGATGATTTTAGCATATCTTTATCTTCGCAATCGAGACCATATGCGATGAGTGGTGAAGTCACCAAATCTCCAAGATAACCTCGGTGCAAGAACCTATCTCCACATTTGTAGACTCCAGCTGCTAGAGAAACATTTGGTCGGCATACCTCAGTTTCTAACCAAGTAAAAGCGACACCATGTTCTCTAAAATGCTTGTATTCTTGAAAGCAAATCTGACTCGCTACTTCTTTAAGGCGCATATGATAGTCCCAGTCGTATATTCCAACCCTGTTATCATATCTCATCCCAAGACTCTGTCGCAAACGATGATCCCACAACTCGCAAGTGTTGAACTGGTTTGTATTGCCAGTAGTCCAAAAATTAAAAAGATTTTCCATATAATCTCTTTCTCGATATTTCATTTGGTCGACAGATATACAAGGGAGCAGGTAACTCATGTACTCAGGGTTAGTAATCATGCCAACTAATTCACGGGCTTTCGCAATTAAATACCTTGAAGTAGGGGTGCGGAGAAGTAAATTTCCATAAACTTCCAGAAACCGGCGAGTTTTCTCCAATAAACCACATCGAGTCGTCCTTTCTAAAGCTAAAGATAGCAGAAATATTTGACGAGCAACGAGTTCCGGACAGCCATCAATCACAAATATGTTCATATATCGTCTTGTATGTTGATATGCTTGAGCCAAAGTTTTGATGAGATGTCTCGCATCACAGCCTCCGATGACCAAAAAATTAAGTTCGTAAGCACTTTTATCTCCATGCTTTAGATATTCCTTTTGCAAATCTAGAGCTGGACTTATTCCCCAGAACATTTTAGCTTACAGTTTGCAAGTCAAATGAATGCAGAATTGACACCTTGGATACGTAGTGATGGAGCGTGTCGTTAGGGCGTTGCCATAGCAACTGTCTATTACTGATACCTGCTCAAAGCGTCTCTAATTAAATATAATGTGTCCTAGATAACCCTTCAAGTGATAACAAATGTTGGTGACGTGTAATGAATAAAAAAATTCTCTTGGCAATTAACAAAAATATATGAACATAAAAATATCTGAATTAATATTTATATTCGTTATCTAATATTTTGAGCAATATTTTTGAGAAGAACAGATGAAGTGAGTATTTATTAACGATTTCATATATTTAGTGTAGATATGGAATGCCTTAAAAGTGGATGTATGTTTGGCCGTCCTATCATAGCGAATTTTCTCCAAATCTTCTGAATGGAGACTTAATTTTTTTACAATATAAAAAGCAAGTCAAAAGGTAAAAAGAAACATTATTTTACGAGATAACAGTTTTATTTTTTATTCGTCACAATTTCGAAATCTCTTGTAATTTTGAAAAATTCTGCATATAAGATATTTTGAGAATAAACACGATGTTAACAGTATTAAGCTGTGTGTCTGTCTACGTAATCTTACATAATACACCAAGAACATGCATTACGAATTTTGGCCTATCGTCGTTTTATTGATTTTAAAAGAAAAAGGGAAGCCAGAAGTGACCTAACTCGGCAATTTGTATAATAATAAAGAATTATAATATTAACATCTAATTACTATGGATTGAACCTGAACTACCCTACGTAATAAGCAAGGGGCATATTTAATACTTGTTATAATAAATAGAGATGAGATAAGCGAATGTACATAAATAAATCATATATGTATTTTATTTATAATATAATTTAAACTTAACCTAAAATCTGATATATAATTTTCTCTTTTCTTTTTTCGCGAATTCATTTTGGTTCCCGATGTTTTTCAAATGCTTACAGCTGTCATGGTCACGGGAGAGATAAAGGTTTTAGACTTATTTAAATTTGGTTTTGTTTAAGATGTCAAATATCCGCGTAAATACTATAAGAAAGTATTAATTTGATGCTTCTCAATTTTAATTAATCCATAACAATTGGAGTAAATTAGATCCGGCTTTCCAAGTGTTTAAGCGCTGAGATCAAAGTATTTTAAAGAGTTCATTAAAAAGAGAGAATTTTACTTTTAAAATTCTCATTATTCTTTTTTATGGTCCTAACAGTACCGTTTCTTTTTATGTATGTTGGCATTTAGCTATTTTTTTTTTAAACCTTCATAATTGAAATGACCGTGTGCCCTTACCAAAGGCAAACTATTCTTGTTTTAGATCTTCCAATAAATATTGAACACAGAATAAAATAATAATAATGAAATTTTAAAATTGGAAGTGGTAAATTACTATTGATCGATAAAATTATTTGACACTTGTTTTCTTTTTTTGTATTTATCATTTGTATCAATCATATCATGTGTATTATTTTAGGCCGGCCGCATATTATAAGATTTTTTCTGTCAGCAAATTTCTGACGCTAAACTAAACTCATTGTCAGACTCGCTGGAGCGAAGTTACTGGTGAGTGTGCGGGGTGGTACCGGCGGGCATCATAAATTTTCTGACAGAAAAACTCTTACACCATATTCCTACAATATGAGGTCAACACAAGCGTATATGCGTGTATGGTAAAAAATACCAAAATGGATAAAACAAAAAGATTAAACAATAAATACGTATTTATTTGGTATTAACCAATTCTATAATAAATGCCACAATTATATCTATACTTAAAGTAAAATTTTGTTCTATACAAATTACAATACTACTTTACAATAATATGAATAAACAATTTGACTTTGTTATGCCAAAATGCATGAAAAAAACTCGAAAAATTTTATAATATTTTTTTAAATATGCTCCACCCTCCTTCGGGAAAATATAGCTACATGAATGGATATAAATACTCGCTTTCACTGTATAATAAGCCAGATTTGTTTCAAAATATTACATTTTAATTCGCATTTTGGCATGACAAATTCTATTTATGACACGAGCTAAGTATCTAAAATGAAGTGCTAAAATGTACAATTTAATGTATTTGGTAATAGCATTTACTTTTATTTAAAAGAATAACAACACTAACTTTTAATATACTAATGCTTTTGTTATATAGAAAACCCTACTATTATTTTTATAATCTATACATCTATGTATACATATATATAAATAAAATTGAAGTGCCTGTCTGTGACTTCAAGATAACTATTTTCTCAAGTACATAGATATTTATATGATATCAGTACCTAAATAACCCTTTTTAACATTTTTGTCTGTATTTCTGTAATCTTTGAAACGGCTTAACCGTTTTTAATGGGGTTTTAACTGAAAAATAGAGGAGTTTGTAGAGCTGCATAATATCTATATATATATAATAATATATAGGTATCTCCATAGTATCCCAATGGCAAACTAATGAATCAAAAGGAGTTTTTTTTGGTAAGTTTTAACGATTATAGCTGAAGGATATTTATGTATTATTCATTTTTAATTATTTTTTAATAAACATTTTGGAAACTTTGGCCTAAAAATAAGTAGAGGAAATTCAGACGTAAATTTATTTTGAAAGATATAATATATGTAACTTGATTTTCATACAATTTGATATTTCTATTAAATGTTTCATCCTCATTAACTCTTATTTAAATTACATAATAATTAAATAAATAATTAAACAAAAACTAAATAGAAAGCCTCATATTGTATATATATTATTACATATGTATATCTTATCTTCTAAGTCTATACAAACAACATAATAAAATCAATAGTAACTTAATTTTTATTGTAATGAACATTCATATTACTACACTTCAAACAAATTACCAGAAACAAATAAAAATTAAATACTGATTCAGCTAAAAGATAAAACTAATATAATAATCGTCATTCTATCGATGAACCCGTTGCCTTGCTGAGGGTATCCCTATTAGGAAATATTTACAAAACATTTTATTGTAAAAATATATCCTTAAATATGCAATAATAATGAATTAGTCTATATACAAATGAAAATTTTGCTAATGTGCATGTGTTTCGTTAATAAAAAGGTTGAAAATGCTGTGTTGTCCTTGAAACTAAAAACATTTATACCAAAACAATTTTTTGCATCAAGCGAGAATTATTCACGCAAAAAATCTAACACCGTACAAATGACATCAACCCATCTTAGACCATGGAATACCACATAGATATCAATGCTTATTTCTATATCTAATCTTATCCCATCCATCGTTTGAATTACTTAAAAGTATAAAAATGCGACTAGATTGCTACATCAAAAGTAAATCAGATAAATATATTTTAGATTTTTAGTACTATGACATTAGAAATAATAAAATAAATAATATAAACTCATAAATTTTAATTCTGCACACAGTGCCCAAACACTTGCGGAACGTTTTCCGAAGAGAACGAAGAAATAGTCACTATATTCTCTCCGTTTTCTTTCCAAAGGAGAGCAGCCAACAATATAATACATAAGTTTCGACAAACATAATTTGAAACTGTATAAAGTAAATATACTATAATTCTATAGGTAAAGTGCGTTATCGTAATTATGCGATTTACGCTCGTACGGTTCGCTCCAATTCTGCATACATGCATGGTTTGCCTATTACTTGCAGTATAATAGGCACATTACCATTAGTATAATGAACTCGTAGCAATGATTCTTGCCTTCTGTACATTACAATCTAAAACTTAGGTAAAATATCAGCTTTTTTCAAATATTTATTCGTCCATCGTCAAGAAAATCTTGAATCATCTTGATTTAAAGATTTAGGTTTGGAAGCTTTGGCTTCAAAAGTCACATTTTGAGAGGGCGCTCTCCACGCGTTGCTTCTGTTAGAATATGTTGATGACGTAACAGGCACTTTACGTGTTTGTTTGATCTTAAGCTTATTTAACCACAAATCTCTAGTTTTCTTATTGCCAAGTACAAAAAATATAAACAAAATGAACCCTTGAAACGTAGCAGTAAGTGTAAATAAATACGCAGCGATGATGTTGAAGGCGAACAAGCCGAAAACCCACGGCAAACCGAATAGGAATACCAGTAAACAGCTGACGGTTGCACATCGTAATGCCTCATTCGTATCTCCATGCCTTTGGATCCTTCTTGAAGCAAACACAGAACGAACTATTAAACCAAATAGCGTCCAGTTCACGAGTAAAATTACAGCAATAGGCAAGTAAACAGATAACCAAAGACCTAAGCCTGAAGGATAACAAAATGAGCTACTAGGGGATTTCTCTTCAAAACGTCCCGAATAAGAATGCGGGGCGATTGAAAGTAAGACTCCTATAACAGCAAAAGGAGCCCCCCAGGAAAAGGCCGAAGCCCTAAGTAACTTATGTGAAGCATCTCTAGTGAAAACCAGAACCAAACTCCTATATGATAATATTGCAGCAACCAACATCCAGCAAAACGAGGATAAAACAGAATAATGAAGGACAATTCCTAACAACATACAAAACACATTGTAATGATCAAATTTCGCAAATATTATAACTAAGAAACATAGAGCTACTAACAGTATAGATATGCAAAGCTGGAACCAAATCTTATTGTTGAACTCTCTTCTCCAAGATCTAAACATGGCTGACGTGATACCGACAAATATAACACCAAAAATTGAAAGACAACAACCTATAATTGTTAATAGTTCGAGTGCATCTTCATTAGCTTGTGAGAACACAGTCCTCGGGAATAAGACTTCTGCAAAGTGAGTAAGATGAGTACACCTGCAGATGTCCAGCTGTCCTGGTTGTGTCTTTATAAGTCTGCAACCCTCCTGGGACCAGAACCCGCTACCATCTTCCAAGAACTCCCAGTATGCGCATGTTCGGGATAAGTTTCTTTCCGGGTTTGTAGTTACAGGGCTCAAGTGTATGTCTATTACCTGAAATTATAAATATTCGAATGAAGATCCGAATGAATCAAGCTAAATATTGATATGGATCAAGATAAAATAATCATTGAAACATGAAATTCTCTAATGTTTGAAATTAAAGTCTATTTTCGTTCTTCGGTATTCTAATATTTCTGAGAATTTATTAAAATGTTAGAGACACATATTATGTGTGTATATACATTAATAAAAATACTATTGTAATCATTTTTTATAATTTCAATCTAAAATCATACAAAAAAGTAAACTTAACTATATAGTAAACTATTTTTTATTTAATTCCAACAAGATTTTTTGCGATATTTTTTTTTACTTTGTTAATACAGATCTTCACTTACTTCTCCATTATCAAACTTCGTGACTTCTCCAACTTTAATGCTTAATACTCTACTGTTCACAGAGTAGAATTTACCATTCGGTTGGAAAGCTCTATCGTTTCTGAACACAACAAAACTAATGCGTTGGGAAGACTCTGACAATGACTGCGGTAGATGAACCACCACCTCATTTATTTCTGCGTCCAAAACTGTAGAGTTCGGTTCTCCTGGAAATTGGAAAGTCAATTAATTTTTTTAATTCTTAGTGCAGCAGAATTAATAGATGTCATGCTAAATTAATTATTAGACAAATAACGAACAAATTGACAAAATGTGACTACTAAACATATTAAAACCAGTGCTCGGAAACCCGTTCAATTTTTAAACCGGTTTTGATCATTGACCCAAAACCGGCTGTTAAGGTTTCGGTTTTGTTCTTTAACCGGTTCAATCTGGGAAAGCGGTTTTTGACGAATTTAAGTTCCATGAACAAAATTAACCGGTTAAAATAAGTTTTTATGTTTTTACATTTGGCGCGTCTTTGCTAACGGTGAATGATGCAGCACATTTCTTACTTATGAACGAATTAACCGGTTTATTTTGGTATCAAATCCGAAATCCAACCTTTCTCTAAGAATAATCGTTAACCAATATTATTTCGGTTTACTAAACCGTTCGTTTTCATTAACCAGTTAAAGAACGAGCGATGAATTAACCATTACATTACCGAAATGAACCGTTCTTTTTTAAACCGGTTCAGAGCCCTGATTAAAACTAACCAGAAAGCATCTGAAAAGCGTCATCAGTGAACGTGTCATTTATCCTCGTAGCTATCTTCAAGCCTCGAACTGGATTGCTTGGTGCCGCATCTGCGAGAAGGAGAGCGATGTTGGGTCTAACTGCAGTCGCACTAAGAGAACCATTCAATTCTATGGCGGAACCCAATTTGTCCAATAAATGTAGTAATCTACCCGGAATTTCTAAATTATCGTTGTCTTCGAGCAAATCGTCCACCTAGAATTGAGACATGAATATATTGTTTTCTATTCAATTTTCTTGTTAATAGCTTCAAAGCGTGCCAGTTGAGCTCAGATTACATCGCCAATGTCACGTAGAATGGTATATAGTTTTTATTGTGTTATAAATAATCAAATTATTAAATAAAACTATCTTTTCGGATTATTTCGCGGATTTATTTTGATTTTTGGTTCCCGACGTTTCGAATGCTTTACAGCAATCATGGTCACGGGAGAGACTGAGGTGTTAAATGTCTCGAAGGTATAGTTGTTACAGACAGCCTACCCACAAATAACAAACATGAAAATTGTACCAATTACCTTACAATATTTTTTAACTTTAAGTCAAAAATCCAAATAAATCCGCGAAAAAATCCGAAAAGATAGTTTTATTTAAAAATATAAGTTTAGACTTAAAAACAAGCCAACTTCAAACTTACCCTATCAAACACTTCACCGATATCACCAACCATTATTGTAGAACCGTTGTTAACGAGTTCATCCAAATTTTGCATCACCTGCTGTAGTTGTTCTTCTGGCTGTGGAAATTATAATTTGTATTTACCATATAATACAATGAAAACAAGTTCAAAGTTCTATTTTAAATACTTTTTAATTCATGTTTGAAGTATATTTGGGATAATAATAACATACTATTTTGCACACCATAAAGTCTAAAGAAACATAAAAAACACGAGACACAAAATGATACACAGCAGGTGAACTTATCGCTAAAAACGCATGTTTCAAATTAAAAAAAAAGTTAAGAAAAAGAAAAGAAAAAAATTATCTCCATAGAATTAAAAATTAATAGAAAAAAAGAAAAGGAAAAAATTATCTATATAGAAACAGAAGTATTTTTTAGAATTTGTATTAGAGCGTTAACGCGTTAAATGTACAAAGCTTGAGCTCTTAGTCATGGTTAGCTTAAAATACAAGCACTTGCGAAAAAGTCAAGGACAACAGAAACCAATTTGAGCCCTGATTTTAACTCTTACCGGTCTTATAATTGGTGTAGTTGTTGTAGAAGGTATATCTGTCGATACATTTTCTACTGTACTTGAATCAATTTCTACAGTAGTCGACTCATAGTCTATCGTGGTAGACTCATACCATGGGGTTGTACTATATGTAGTTTCAACTATAGATATTGTACTAGTTGATAATGATGTTGTTGGTAATGATGGTGTTGGTGGTGGTTTCAAACGATCGTCCTCTTCTAAACTATCAGTATGACTATCGTGAGTTATTGGGAACTCAGTTGAACTCTACAATTTAGTTGGAAATTTTGTTAGTTTGTTATTCACATGCAATGGATATTTTTGTTAGTTGTAACATATAAAAACGAAAAGAAAAAATAACATGCTATTATGAAAAATAGATGAAATTTATCAAATTATGTATTTGAATGTAAATCAGTTCGATAAGGTATAATTAGAAAAAAATGAAAAAAATTGTACAAAGAAAAATTAATAAAAATAATTTAAAAAAACAATGCCACATGAAATATGTAGAAGTGAAAAATCTTACGGTTGGTGGTGGCGTTGGCCTTTGGGGCATATTATCCTCAAAATCATCAAATCTTAGAGCTCTGTTTAGAACTGAGTCTGGTTTGATTGTGCAATTGTCTGCAACTATTGTAACCCATTGAACCCCTTCGTTAAAATCACCAACGCAAGTGTGTGTTCGACACCCAGCTGTTGTTATTGAGTTTCCTGGAAATGTTGTGTTATTTGTCACTTATTTTAAGAAATAAAAAATATATTTTTTTTAATATAGATTATTTTTTATATATAAACTTTACAATAAACTATTTCCGTTTATACATATATATTTAAGTTATTTCCAGATTTCTTCTTAATTTACACAAATTAGAATGACATGGTTAACTTTTGATCTCAGGTGTCAAAATTAGCAAGAAACTAATTAAACCAATTCAACTCTGAATCATTACTTGAAATAACATATCCAGCAAAAAAAAAAACAAAAAAAACATGTAGATATTCCTCAAAGGAGAACTTATCCTTGCGTGATATTTAAAAAAAAATACCTAAAGGCAGTTGAGGTATTGAATCAAATGATTTGCAATAATACACCGGCTTCATTGAAACAATCTCAAGATCCTCCCAGAGGCCAGGGCTCACGATGTTCATGACGGGGTTTAGTTGTACATGAATCAGCACTGTACGTCTGTCCATATAAAGCCTTTTTAGTCTAATCTTCGAAATAATGGACTCATGGTCCAAATTAAAACTTGGATTGGAATTTTTAAAGTTTTTCAGTACATCTTCTGTTGCATTATTATACAAATCTCCATAGACACGCTCATATTTATTTTTATAATAAATATACTCTTTAAGCTTGTATTCCCAAATTTTTGACAACTCTTTTATATCATCCAATTTATATAAATCGTGATGTCGTAATTTCACTGCGTAATTGTTTATCACAGATCGTTTTTCTCTAACAAATAGTACTTTTTTGGTCTCAATTACTTTATAATTTTTAGTGTCAGTATGTGTACACCAATAATACCCATCTAGCTTCGGTATGAGAATAAAAGTATTTGTATCGTCAATTTTGCTTTTACTTATTTTGACTGGATATCGTTCTACTGAATCTGTGAAACAGTATATATCATCCTTGTCCAGAGAATCGTTAACTTTTAGAGTCAGTTGATTTTCACTGAAATAAAAAAAAACATTTTGAATGAAAAATTGTGACGATTCATTGAAAGAAATTAAGCTTTATCCACTTAGACTTATACAATCTCTTAATCTGTCTTGAATCGTCACTTTAATTTTTTCAAGGTTTATTATTTAAATATGGTGTTCAAAATGACAACGTGCATACTATTAGAATTCCCAGGTTCGATTCCTCACGAGATAGATAAGATATATAGTTTGGTTAAGATGACAGCGCGACTACATTGAAACATTTGACATATCAGCGCACAGCCTGTGTAAAATACACAAGTCTTTCTTTTATAATGTAGGTGAGCACTAAGAAATGCTTTTGTGCAAGTAAATCCCTCTTAAGGAGTAAACATTACAAGGGCATGCTATTTAAGAATACAGTAATATTAATTAGTAATATTACTCTAAACAACCTTTTATACAAACCTTTTATAAACGTCTTGATCTAGTTTCATAAATTAATAATGACGAATCTAAATATTAATAATAAGTCCATTAACATACAATAAAGCGATAACAGAAATTATTACTTCAGTCACTATAAGATATATTTTTTTATTATTTATACCTTGTTCGTCCAGTTGTCGAAATAGTACCATGATCATTATATAGAAAATTTGAGGAACACATATCTAAATAGAAATTAATTATCTATACAAAAAATAACAATGTCCAACATTTTATTGATAACACTAAAATTTGTCAATAGGTACTAAACAAAAAAATAAAATCGCTTGACGAACAGAGGAGAAAACGGTACTGAACTGTTATTTCTATACCTATTTATATATCTATACATATAATAAAATTGTAACTAAGCCGAATCTGTACCTTAAATATTTTTTGGAAAATATTATTGAAATAGACATTACTATCGATACATAGGCCGAATCTATAGTTTTTAGAAATTTTGTCTGTCTGTCTGTTACCGCATCACAGAAAAACTACTGGAGGGATTTTGATGAAATTTAATACGGTGATAGCTGGTTATCCAGGTCAACATATAGGATACTTTTTACCGCGGGAAAATATCTCATTTCTGAGATAAAATACAAAAACTGCATTGTAAGAGTATACTAATATGTAAAAGCTAAGAATTTGGTTTTTGTTCATCTGAATGCGGGCGGAGCCGCAGGCAATGCGAGTTTAAATAATAAAATAATAATAAAGCTTGTATGTGTAATATTAGATAATAAATAGTTTATATTTAATTTATTTTTCTTTTTCGATTGCTATTTATATGTGATATTATAAAAGTGTACATATGTATTTCTTATTGAAGTCAAAGATTATGGTTTAAAAAACGTATTTAATTCTGAAATTATAATACCAATGTAATAGGCACAAATAATGCTAAAATTGCAAGGCATTATAACAATAGAACAATAGCCGTCTTAGAATTTGTGAAAACAATAAAATTGGTTTACTAATCATAAAAAACATGTCTTCTAATTGACTTGAATATTTTTTAAAACAGGTCACTATTTATGTACTGTAGCTCTTTCATCATCTTTCATTCATTAATTAACTTAAATTAATTATTAATTCAACTGTAATTTGCAGATTCAAAAAATTAAATCTTTTCAAGTCACATTTAAAATCGCTGTATGTTAAAAGATTATCGGTGAGCGTTTTCGATGGAGAAGTCAAGTCCTAATAATTCGGTCTTCCTATATGAGGTCAGTTCTATCCTTAATAAAATAATGTATTTATCACACAATATAAAATGTCGCGGCATACAAAAGTAACGGGCACAAAAATAGTATATTAAATATTTTTCCTTAATTTTTTCCAAATCTTGTTGTTTCAAACAATTCAGAGTATAATAACGGTAAAATAAAGACATGTTTATTTATTCGTTTGGACGCGCATCGCTTGATTGACGAATTTCAATGACGTTTTTTTATTGCACAAATAGTATTCTAAATAAAAAAGTGATCCTAAGCCAGTCAAGTGATCCTAAGATTTGCCTCAGTTATAGTTTCCCAATACGTTCCAATGTCACGGTTTATTAAGTGTATCTACATATAAAAAAATACTTACAAATCTATAGCCACTTGCATAGTAACATTTTTTAATGGGACTGATTTCTCACAAATGACATCGTAAAATATATAGGATCCATTTACTAAACCCCAAAAATTGTCATGTACTGAACCTAACAAGGTGTCGACATCGTGACTCCTTTTTTGAAAATACCAATCTTCTACAGGTATCTGGAATATAATAACATGTTTATATAAGAATTAAAAAAAAATCATTGATGAAATGTAATAGAGTGAATTTTATCATTTTAGGTATATTATTACAACTTACCTCTGAATGGTCGTTCATAGCGTCGTACCTTAACATGGAGTAATCAGTACTCATTATGATACCAAGTGGATATATATGATTAACTCCAATATCTCTATAAATTGGGTGATTTATATATCTCCAGCCACGGTTAAGTAAAGAACCACCCTTTTTTAAGCATAAATCCTGGGCCTGATTCCATGTTGCTCTTACATTCCCACCCCCTACCCCTGATAGTACTGCTAAACACGTTGATTCTGGACTCCAAAACTTTACGGCATCCTTCAAACCGTCACACCTCTTACTAGGCACAGTTTTGACATTTATAATATACGGCTTGACAACACAGAAGCTGTAGTGTTTTTCGTTGCATTTCACAGCGGTGTAGTTACTGATTGGATCCATAACAAGACACAATTCTTCCTCCAAATCTAGAGTAGGATCGATCGTCACATCGTAGACGGAGTTAAACTTTTCTCCAATACTCTTTGTATAGGACCAGTCGACGAACAGCCCTCCAGGATGCATCGACTTGTACTCTGTCCACACAAGATAATCAAGTTTAGAAATCATATCATATTCCAGATATAACTTCGATGTGTACAAATTGCCCACGCAGTCTTTGTATTTATCTGCGAAGGTTTCTGGGCCTTTTCTGCGGAAGCACAGTGGCCCATGGTCTTTTCTGGAAAAAAGTGAAAATCCGATAGGGCATGTCGGCTTGTAGTCCTTACTTTGCGCGAGTACATCTATCCATAGTAAAACTAGAAGAGTCGCTTTCAAAAGATGACATAGTTGCACATTCATCTGAAATGGGAAAATAATATTTAAATATTGTTGTATTACATAGCATGTTTGTACTCCAGTTATAGTTGTTTATATTTATAATATCTATGTATCTTTAAGTTATATATATGTAGTGTATCAACTATCTGATGTCCATAACACAAGCCTCGTAGCTTACCATGGAAATAAATGGTACTGTGTGTTATGTCCCAACATATTTATTTATTTTTATATTTAAAGTCGTTGAAATGTAATATTTATATAAAACTAAAGAGATAAGATAGAGTATCGTCAAAACCATAAATAAAGGAGTTCAATTACACTATCATTTTCTACATTTGAGAATATTTTGTATATAAAAGAAATGTATGACAATTTTAACTACACCGAAATTATATTTTCGATTAATACCACTAAGCATTGTCAAATCGAAATCTAACCTTCTATCTAATAGAATAATATAATAGCTAGAATATAGAATAGCTGAGCTGCGTAGATATTTTTTTGTTTAACTAATTAAACGTCCTTTTTGGCATTTTTATTTGGTTCTACTCCCGGTTCAGGTAAGCATTTTTAATGAAAATTTAATGCAGTTACTATTATTTTTAAAAATAAAGATTTCCTTTGAGTACATCTTGATAACTTCAATATTTATGGTACTTTTCTTCCATGTCCCATCGATTTATTCCACTCTGTATGTCCATATTTCATACATTCTATATAGAATATGGCCACCCTCAATAGCGAAAAACATGCATTCTAAAGTGTAAATATTTATAATAATGGTCTTCATGCATACATAATGATTAGAACAGCAGTTGGCTCTATCTCAATGAGATTGGAAGCCGTAACCGGAATCGTTTAGGACGATATTACTTGCAGGTGTCGAGATTGTAGGATGGTATGGAACCCTTGGTGTTCCAATATACGTTAGTCTAGGGCTAATTTCTGATTTTCTACGTGAATATCGAGATTATCTTTTTACAAATACTATGACAAAGTCCAAAGGATGACATATTAAAAATGATGATTTGCTTGCTAGTGGTTTGTTTTTGCAAAACTGTAGCTAATGACACATAGAACCTTGTAGCATCCATAACTAAATAAGTACTAAAATTGTAACATAGAACCTTGTAATAGTGAGCCAACGAATTATGTACATATCTTTCACGATTTTTTCTATATATCATAATAAGGTTGCTTTAGACCCAAGCCCTATATTAAAAATACTTTACAGTCAATCTACTATCCAACTTGAAACAAAACTTACCAGTACCAGTCATATAAACAAGAATGTGTCGAGTATTTTAACTATATCTGATATGATAGCACTCCACGTTATTGCCGATACACTAACATTAGCGCCTCTGATTACCAATGATGTCCGATATAAAAACACTATATATTATGCAATTAGATAAACCTAAAAAGTACTACAAAAAGCGTCATTCTGAATCAGATTTATTGACTATAGTCGTTTTCAGTGAGTGGGCGATATATACGTCTAACAGGATATTTAGGTATAACAGGATTGAGGTGTATTGAGCATTCTTGTATAGCTAATCGAAATTTTGTGCTAAGTTGATATACTCGTTATATCTATACGATTAATTAAAATTATATCCTACATAAATAAATATTAACGACAGAAAGTATAAGAGACATTATTATATCTTTAATGGGTGAGATATTAATATGTTAGGGCATTATGTACCAGAATTCACCACAAAACAAATAATAGTCTTTTAAGTTCAGTCATTAAAAATCAATTCCTTCCGTTTATAGAAAACAAGATAGCATTTATATTACCTATATACAATATACTAATATACTATATAGTAGCAACTCACCCCTCGCTCCGCTCGGGTTCGTCCCTAGGTAGCTTTTAGCGGTTAGTATAGATTTCTCAGAGATGAGATATTTTCCCGCAGTAAAAAACATCCTATAATATGTTGACCCGGATTACCAGATATCATCGTACCAAATTTCATAAAAATCTGTCCAGTGATTTTCGCGAGATGCGTTCCCAAACAGACAGACAGACAAAAAATCTAAAAACTCTAAATTTCTGTATCGATAATAATGACTATTTCAATAAGATTTTCTAAAAAAATATATAATGTACAGATTCGACTCAGAATTTTATTGTATGTATAAGATATATGTAGATAAATCTAAAAGTAACTCTGTTACCTTTTCACGCTTAAACCACTGAACAAATTTCGATAAAATTTGACTAGGACATAGATTGTATCCTGGGATCGGATATAGACCCTTCACCCTGCCTTGCGAGCAAAGCCGCGGGCAAAAAGTAGTTTCTTATAGACTAATTGTTTTCCACCAATTTCACAAGGCAGTGCAAAGTGGCGCTCCATTTTATTTAAGTCAGAAATGAACATCAATGTAATATGGCCATTGGTCAATAAACATTTATCCTCTCAAGAAATCGAACCCCATGTCCTTCACAATAAAATGTTTAGCTACTTGATATACCAATAATACTTTATAATAAAACGTGCAGTAATAAGGGAAAAGAATAATCCTTATCTGATTTAGAGTTATTAATATTATCAATTAAATATATAGACATTAAAAGCTTTAGTTTTTCGGAGGTAAATAGTGTTGTGCATTTTGAAACTTTAGTTTTAGTTTAGTTATTCAAAAATCATTATTCAGCATTAAATTATTGCAATTTTTACTGAACGTCCTGAGAAGTTTATGGGATATTGTTCTTTGGGAAAATCATTAATATTTTTAATTAATAAAATATTTTAATTTTTACACGTACTATATCTTCAAGAATGTATGGAACACTCATTCTTTATAAAGCCAAAAAGTCTTATAAATATTTTTTTATCATTCAATAATTTCTTATATATTATGACATTTTGTTTTTTTTTCTTTATAGCTTATAGTTACTGACAAGCTGTATGAATTAAAAAAAATTGGAAACAATAAGTTTCATTTTTTATATAGATAGGTAAAGACAAAGCAATTTAATATTATTTATTCAATGATGATTATGATCGATTTGGCCAACACTAGTTTTTTTTTATCAGAACAAACATCTTGACAATCACCTTTCAGATATTATTTAACATGTAGAAAGTATTAAAGTTGCGTGTTTTCTGGTTATAATGCAAATGTTACGCTAGACTCAATTACTAAATAATTGAGAACATTCAAGAAGTTTACGTAAGATTCATTATTTGATTAAAATACGATTACTTCATATATAGGTAGAGTAACCAATACAGCATATATTATAAAACGATATATAGTATTAAGAAAAATATTAAAATAAATAGGGAAAAAATCGGAAAAAGATGGAATAGGCAAGATACTAATAATACTTTCTAAGATTTACGAGAATATTTGACATTTTAAATAAAACTACATTTTTCAGATTTTTTCCCGAATTTATTTTGATTTTTAGTTCTCGATGTTTTGAATGCTTTACAGCAATCTCTCCGAGACCACGACAAAAAAAATCGCGAGAAAATTCGAAAAGATAGTTTTGTGTAAATTGTTATGGGTTCATATTAGAAAAAATATTTTAAATAGTACTAAAATTATGTAAATGGATTTAAACTTGACGTAATAATCGCGTAACATACATAAAATCACATATGAAATTAAAAAAATTAAAGTATGCAAGTCTGAATCCGACTCGCGCTTCACTATATTAATATTTATTTATACTCTACATTTTTCTCTATTTTAAAACTGTATTTAAAATTGTCTATCACAAAAGATGATTTGCCCTTGTATAATGTATTATTTGAACTTAACTTATTTTTAATTTACAATACACTTTTACTAATTGAAGCTCACCTTCGTTAAAAGTGAAATTGTAAAGTGACATTTACTCGTACGTATAGTGTGTAGGTGGAGCACAGCATTATCATACCAATTGCAATGATTCATATTTCTTTATCTCATTTCTAACCGACTTACGAAAATGAGGTTATGTTATGTTCTTTTTTTAATATAGAGATTTGACTTTTTAACAACGATTTTTTTTTATAGGACTAACATTTTGAATAGGTTGTTAGAACATTAGGTTTAGTATTTATCTATAAGTACGTTTTGTGTTTTAAACTTTACTAATTAATAATATTATTTAGTGTTGCTAATAATAGCAAAAAGTATGTATAAACACTAACTGAGAACTAAGAACTGTTTAATAAAATAAAACTTTATCGTCAAATCTCATTGTTTTCATTGATCTAAATGATTTTATCAGTGCAATGAAATGTGAACAGTTAAAAAATATTACCTTGTATTATTCAAGTACAGTCGTCACGGTCGCGCGGTGCTTCGCCGACGCTCATCTTACGTTCCCATCGCTTGCTGACTTTCACACAGCTTATTGTTTGTTATAGCCTGGGAATTGTTAAAGAAAATTATGTTAAAACATTTAAATTTTATGGGAATCTTCCTGTGGGATAGACATTTAATTTATCAGTCTGCTCTAACCCACTAGCTGGTTCATAACACGTTTTTCGGACATGCAGCTTCCCTTAACATATTTTCCTTTACCGTAAGATGAGGTTTTAACTTTTAACCCCTAAAAGCATAAATTCCAAAAGATTCATTCTCTGAATTTGCCTAGGGCCCTGATAGGTGCCATACAAATAGGCTCACACGATTAATATTTGCGATATTTCAACTATTAACTAATAAAATATGAATAATAAAAAAAAAATTTTTACTCGAAATATCCAAGCAAGAAAACGAATATTCAAGCTAGAGATAGGTAGTCTTACTTTATACTGTAGGTATACATCGACTGCCGCTACTATCTGTATAAATATTATAAATGTGATAGTTTGTGAGTATGGATGTTTGTTACTCTTTCACGCCGAACGGCTGAACGGATCTGGATGACATTTGGCACAGAGATAGATTATAGTCTTAGGCTATAGGCTTTTCGTTTTCAGAGAGGCGAACCCGAGCGAGAGCATGAGACGCTAGTGAGATAAATACTTTTTTCTAATAGGTATAGGAAAAGAATAAAC